GCAAATAACATCCACCACTGGTGGAAGCACTAAATCTAAGGGGGTTTAAGGAAAGCTTGATCATTTGAATGATAAGGGCTGGCTGTGAGTTTATATACCTATATATAGTTTAGTGGATTGGACAGCCTAGATGGACTAGCGGGTTACTTGTTTGTTTTTCTAAAGATAAGCACAAAGCTACATTATGGGCTATCTATGCTCTGCTCACCACGGGTATCGAAACCCGGTTTCAAGCGTTGTAAGTCCGCAGACATACCGCCGTGCCACTGAGGGGCAGGTTCATTGTTATCCTTAAATATTATGTTATGTTATCTGTGTGTAAGATGTTTGATTTACGATTAATCTGACATTCTCTCCACTGAGGTTTCAAGGGGATCAATACATGTGTCAACTATCAAGTAAATTTGTCGAAATGAGCCCGACTGCTTCTTCTTGAGTGATTTAGAATTATATAGCGATTAATGATAATCCAATGTATGGTAAAAAGTATCATAAGATAGAACGTTTTAATTTAATAATAAAATTCACGTATGATAAAAAGATAAGTACATCACGTTAAAAGAACTATAAACACTTTCGATAAGTGGATATATCTATATATTTGATAGCTTAACCATTACAGATGGGGCTCATATTCATAGACTTTTTTTAAACACATTATTCTGAATTATTTATGTTCCAGATTGCTTAAAAATATATTAATCAGGCAAAATATAAAAAAAATCAAAATCGGACAATTTTGAGTTGTTTTAGAATTTTCGCGTAAAGCTACACAAATTTTGAACTGATGGGTTACAGGAAAAGCAGTTAGTCAACAACACCCACCCCCAACTCTTGGGCTGCTCTTAGTGAATAATAGGAGGAGGGGGGTTATCCGTCATTTTTACAGCACATCAAAGGCACAATATAGATATTTCATTTTTACGGCAACGGGACGCGAGCCATAATCCTCATTTCATAGGCTAAACACTAAGCCATTTCCAACCTACAATTTAGACCAAGTTCCCAAAATATAATTTTCATACCTACGTAAAATTGTTATGGTTTATCATTTTGCTTTCACCAAAATTTCTTAAATTGTATAAAAAGTACATTCGAACATTTTCACCAGTAAAGTATGTACAAACGATACAAACAATATTCTCTGACTATGTTCAAAATATTGAAAATTCAAATACAAAGCAAGACTGAGAAATGTCCTGTAATTGTTAGAGCTACATAAAGTTACACTGGTAAAGAAATATAATACTAACTTTGATGAAGAGATAAAAATACAAAAATTAGGTCAGTTATGTGGAAACAAGTAAAATATTCAGTGGAATAGAAAATTGGACTGAGAGATGAAATGTTCTGATGGTATTGCACTAAATCATGAAAGATTATGAAATTAGAATGTTAAATTATTAGAATGGCCTTATCCTAAACCTCCAGATGTAAAAAAAAAATGGACAGAGAAATAGATGTAATAACCTTACCTTAAACTGCTAGAGGTGTAACAAAATGAACTGGGAAATGAAATGTAATGCTCTCACCATAAACTATGAGATGTACTAAATGACCTGAGGGTGGATATCAGAGCTGTATAAAACTAGACTGGCAAAGGAAGGTAATGATCCATTGCACCTTAAATTGCTATCGATTTACAAAACTGTACTGGTAAGTAAGATATAATGCTCTCATACTAAAATGCTAAAGATGTATAAACTGGACTGAAAAATTATCTTAAACTGTAAAAGATGTGAAAAACTGAAATGAGAAGGGAATATAATAATTGACCTAATCCTAAATCGTCAAAAATGTCTAAAATTAGGCTACCAAGGTCCATACTAAAGTATGAAAACATATTAAACAGGACAGGAAGATCAATTTGATAGTTTTACCCTTCATTTGTTATTACAATTACACTGATCGATGGAATAGTACATTGCAATAAGAATAAAATGAAGTGTGCCTGCGTTAATTACAGTCATTCAGTCCCTGATGAACGCAGCAACGATTATTAGGTTTCTTGCAAGAAAATACTACTCACTGTTCCAACTTTTATGGATCTAGTGCTGAACAGAGTAGTATATGAAACGTCAATTTCGTTTTGAATATATATAATGGATGCAATAGTTCTATAAAAACTAAATATCAGTATCTTAATAGCGCAAACCATCTGCATAGTAACAATAGTCGCATAATACATGATAGAAAACTTCGGACGCTACTAACTTTCTTGACATCACATCGCTTATTAAGGACTGTAACATAACCATTTTATTAAGGACTGTAACATAACCATTTTATTAAGGACTGTAACATAACCATTTTATTAAGGACTGTAACATAACCATTTTATTAAGGACTGTAACATAACCATTTTATTAAGGACTGTAACATAACCATTTTATAAAGGACTGTAACATAACCATTTTATTAAGGACTGTAACATAACCATTTTATTAAGGACTGTAACATAACCATTTTATAAAGGACTGTAACATAACTATTTTATAAAGGACTGTAACATAACCATTTTATAAAGGACTGTAACATAACCATTTTATTAAGGACTGTAACATAACCATTTTATAAAGGACTGTAACATAACTATTTTATAAAGGACTGTAACATAACCATTTTATAA